CCCCCCCCCCCCCCCCGGGTTTTAGTCTCACGAGATTCAAGAACAAATGCATTATAATAAGTCTAACAGCCTCGTGCTTTCATCTGCTTCTCGGATGATCAAACACTCGCACGCGTTTTTGATCTATTACTTCAACACAGTCAAAAAAGACGGTCATGCAAATAAAAACCTTTATATTCAATCATTCTTAAAAACATTCTCTCTATGCTTTTTTTTGTCTTCGCCAAGGAACATGGTCTCGGCGTCCCAAGACGCAGACACGTTATACCATGTGTATCGTTTTTACCTTAAACATCATCTTAACCCTTATGTCATTCCCTTGAGTATTATTTTTTATCAGTGATACAGCCACTAAAATATGCATTATTTCAATTGAGCCTGCACTCAATTTTTTTTGATTCAGGAGATATAAAAGCGAGGTGAATGGGTCAACCATTCCTCACGACAACGTCAACGAATATTCTATAGAATAAACAAAAACATTAAAGACATCAATAAACTTTTAACGACTCTTCTTGTCGCTGTGAATATTTCTCGCTCTGGATATATTTTCTCAAAAATGTCACAGATTTCCGGCTCCGAATTTCGAACGCTTGACTACAAAACTATCGCTATAGTGACTGTGAATTGAGTTTCTTCAAAATCAGATAAGTTGATACCGATAATCGTTTGCAATTCAGAGTCAGAATCCTTAGACATGTTTAAGAAACCCTTTTGATTGATGTCCACCAAAACTCAATTTTTCGTTTGTGATTTAGGTCTCAGTTAAACGCAGTAACGGCACCACAATGGTCTAAAAAAATCTAAAAATAAATACTAGCTTTAGCTGTCGTATCACAGCGTGGGACGGGGCAATCACAAGAGAGCTAGGCTCCAAACTAGGTGAAAGCCCAAAGATCGAATTAGAATTTAGAAGTTGGTTTTTGAGGAGGGAGGAAAACCGGAGAACCCGGAGAAAAACCCTCGAAGTACAGGAGAGAACCAACAAACAACTCTACTCACATACTACATAGGAGAGAACCAACAAACAACTCTACTCACATACTACACAGGAGAGAACCAACAAACAACTCTACTCACATACTACACAGGAGAGAACCAACAAACAACTCTACTTACATACGACATCGAGACCGGCAGAGCTTGAACCCAGGTCGCATTGGTGAGAGGCGGCGCATTAGCAGCGCACGACACCGTTGCTTCTTTGGGAACTCTCTTTGGGAATGCTTGCAACCATCAATAGGTTGCTATCAAAAGACGTCGCTTCCGGTAATAGCTTTTTTTAATGGCTTGTAGAATCTTGGAGGTTGTTTTGATCTCTTGTTTTCTCGTTTGATGTCGTGAAAATAGTCAAATACAATAGTTTGAAGACTTATTTTGATATGTTTTGACTTAGCATCCGCTAGTTGCCCCCAGTCTACCGCTTGTTTGCCCCCCAGTCAACTCCAAAAAGTCACGTGATTGATAGTAAGTAATATTATATAATTATCGTGTATGTTATGTATAATTTACCTATCCATGCATCATCTGTGTATTACCCAATTTTATAATTACCATTCTTCTTCGTTTTATACATGATGCATTTGTAAAAACACTATTTCTCTTTGCTGTGTGTTCGAATACAGTTATTATTACACTGACTATTATTTAATTCTGCCACAATATTGTCAAATTGATGCAGAAAATATTTAAATGCGATGCAGCTTTAAAAATATCATTCTTCGAGTCACCATCAAATGTTGATAGAATAGCGCAGTGCACTGATTCTAAAAATAGCTTAAAGATTCGGACAAACATTGCATTCTGTTTAACCGCTACGAGGATTATACGAACCGATTTTATTATTTTTACTTAAAGTTACAATAATAACCCATGTAAACTAAGATCAACTGCGATCGGCTGTGAAAATTATCTGCTGAAGGTAAACTTGTAAGTTTGTTTGTCCGAATTTCGCCTTTGTCTTCGTTTTTATGACGTCACGGTTGCGCTGCGCTATTGTATCCAGCTGAAAAATTTGAAAATTATGGATTTCCAGGCCACAAAATGAAAAAAAAAACCAGTTTTATATTTTTATTGCAATGGCGTCATGTTTTTATTTTTCACTAGTCAATTTTCGCAAGCTTCAGGCAAGAAACCTGTTTTGCGACAGGGCAGAAAAACGGTTTTTGGCCTTTCGTCATAAGGACAGCTTTACGTATTTAAGCTCAATATTTTGTAAACACGTTCTTTTGGAGCCAAATAGCAAAATATCAAATGCGATCAAATTTATTGAATGCGTATTTGAGATATAAAGCCGTGTACTTTGGGAGAGGTGATATTTTGATCAGCAGAAAAACTGACATTTTCGTGAATACTAATAAATAGATTTACTCTGATTCGATAAAATTTCGTTACAAGTTTCGAGCAGCAGCTAGTGACACAAATGAAACGCTTAAAAATTTGGAGTATTAAACTCAGTTAAATTTAAAAAATCGTGAAAGTAGCGAGCTTTTTGTTTTTCTGCCCTGTTCATATAATCTGCATTTTTGTCAAAATTATTTTTGGTGAAAAAAAAAAAATACAGACGGTATTCGAATAATGGAGTCAAAACAAAGGAATAATACTCAAGGCAATGACAGGTGACTTATCATGAGCAAACATTACGCTCTAAGCTTATTAACATGAAGGTCATTTGGTTACGTACCCAGAGCCTGCGTTTCTTCTGGCCTGAGGTAGCCCGTCACATGCGAAATTTTCTTCGTAAATACCGTCTGCGAAATATTAGCCTGCAAAGCAAAAAACCGGGGTTTTGGGGGGACTTTGGAACGAGCGACAATTGAAACCGAGCAACAAAAAAAAAAAAAAAAAAAAGCGAAGGGGTTAGTGTTATCCAATGGGAGTTCACATGAGAATGAGCATGGCTAACAGCCAATCAGAATCTATTATATAGAATCGCGCAATTTGCGGGGGGTCCACACAAGCTTTCTGGCGATGTTTCGCAGACGGTATTTACGAAGAAAATTCCGGATGTGACGCAGGCTAGGCCTGAGGCGAAGAACGAGGGCTCTGGCATAATCCATTTTTGGCGCATGCGCAGTTTTCCGGAAGTGAAATATAAACAATGAAAATCATGCTTTCAAACAGAGTTCTGTGTTTATTTCCAATCAAAATAAAAATCAGAAATCTGGAATAATCTTTTAAAATTTTTTGGAAAGTCTTTTAACGTATATGCGCTCTTATACCGGAAGTCCAAGAAATCCTGGTCTCAGGCCAGAAGAAGCGCAGACTCTTTGTACGAGATTGAAATCACAGCAAAGCAATAAAACGATTGCGCATGCGCACGAGAAATTTTCCCATTCATTATTCATATAAATTAAAAATTCAGTCTCATTCAGAATCAATTAAAAATCTGTCCTAGTATTACGAGTTGTGTTCCTTGTAAAATAGCTTCCATATCGGTGAAAGTAAAGAGTTGATCTTCTCTCTGGCCGTGGCTGAGTTGCGCGCGAAATGCGCAAATACTGCTGTTATGACGTCACTGTCTTGATATTTCCATATTAGGATTAAGGTAATGATCAATATGCTTGTGAAAATCAGCCGACCTCTGGAATAAGACAGAGAAGGATGTGTTGTGAATATTGAATACTGCACAGTGTATTATATAATACGCGCACATATTTGTATAGTGTATGATATAGTGCGCGCACATACTTGTATAATATACACATACACAGAAGGTTGTCTCGTGAATATTGAATACTGTACAGTGTATGATATAGCGCGCACACATACTTGCATAGTATACATATACACAGAAGGTTGTCTAGTGAATATTGAATACTGTACAGTGTATGATATAGTACGCGCACATACTTGTATAGTATACACATACACAGAAGGTTGTCTCGTGAATATTGAATACTGCACAGTGTATGATATAGTGCGCACACATACTCGTATAGTATACACATACACAGAAGGTTGTCTCGTGAATATTGAATACTGCACAGTGTATGATATAGTGCGCACACATACTTGTATAGTATACACATACACAGAAGGTTGTCTCGTGAATATTGAATACTGCACAGTGTATGATATAGTACGCGCACATACTTGTATAGTATACACATACACAGAAGGTTGTCTTGTGAATATTGAATACTGCACAGTGTATTATATAGTACGCACACATACTTGTATAGTATACATATACACAGAAGGTTTTCTTGTGAATATTGAATACTGCACAGTGTATGGTATAGTACGCATACATACTTGTATAGTATACACATACACAGAAGGTTGTCTTGTGAATATTGAATACTACACAGCGTTTGCTAAAGTAAGCACACATACTTGTATAGTATACACATACACAGAAGATTGTTTTGTGAATATTGAATACTACACAGTGTTTGATAAAGTACGCACACATACTTGTATAGTATACACATACACAGAAGGTTGTCTCGTGAATATTGAATACTGTACAGTGTATGCTATAGTGTGCGCACATATTTGTATAGTACACACATACACAGAAGGTTGTCTTGTGAATATTGAATACTGTACAGTGTTTGATATAGTGCGCGCACATACTTGTATAGTATATACATACACAGAAGGTTGTCTTGTGAATATTGAATACTGTACAGTGTATGATATAGTGCGCACATACTTGTATAGTATATGCAGTTCGAATCATTGCGGTTATTTGTAACGAGTTTTTTGGCAAACAAAACCAGGTTAAACCAACATCTCGTTTGTAGAAATACAGAATACTTTTCCTTAATTTTATATTAAAAAATGGCAATAAGAAATGACAAGAGAGACTTATAAAAACAAGGRAAAAGGTTGACATTCTATGTGTCTGTCCTCTTATTGTTCATAGCTGTAAGCCAATCAGATTGCGAGAATACGCTCTGTTATTGTAAAAAGATATATAAATACCTTGTTCTAGTAAAAGGGACTATCATTCTACCAATGGATGTAAAGACAATAAGAATGATAGCCAGCACTGCCAAAACCACGCTGAGAAACTTCGAAAACAATGCTTTTGCCTGTACTGACTGTTCCAAGTAATCATCCAAAGCTCCAACCATCTGCTGGTTCTGTTGTTGTACAGTCTCTACTTTAGTTATCTGTAAAATAACGTAACGATTTCTACGTCATTTGGGATAAAACTCTGCGCGAGACTAGTTCAGAACTGGACCCAGAGACAAACCGAGTAGCGGAAATTGGCTACAACTTTTTTCGTGTTGCATGAAACAGTCGTAAGCAAGTTGTACGGATAATTTACACGGAGCAATTCGTGTCGTAAGAGTGGCGTCATCGTGTTGCGCGCGACAGTTGTAGAGACAAGTTGTTCCGTGTAAATGGGCCTTAACGATCAGTCTTTGTATTTCGTGCGCGCGCGCAGTATTTCCTTTTATTTTGAGGCGTAAATAAATCGGTTAGTGAGTAAAGTGGGTCCAGTTCTGGACATGAGCAGAGACATGCTCACGCAAAATCATATTTTTAAATATATAGAAGCAACATAACAATAGACCCCTCGCATGTGACGTCAAAGCAGCTCAATTTGGAGGACAAAACAAAAGAATTTCAATCTCACGAGGATTGGAAACCTATTGTTATGTCCTCAAAATTGAGCTGCATTCCGACATGCTGTAAGGGTCTTTGTAACCATGTTTTYCCATTTCAGACCACATGTCATTCCCTAGAGTATCATTTCTTTGTTTAACAGGTGCATGTGAGAAGACATATGAATGTGGATACAACTCAAACAAAGAACCTTATTCTCAAGACCATGTGTCATTCCCTAGAGTATCATTTCTTTGTTTAACGATAGCACATGAGAAGACACATGAATATGGATACAACTCAAACAAAGAATCTTATACTCAAGAGAATGTGTCATTCCCTAGAGTATCATTTCTTTGTTTAACGATTGCGCATGGCAAGACAAATGAATACGTATACAACTCAAAGAATGTTTTTCTCAAGACAATGACACGTGGTCTGAAATGGAGAAAAACGTCGCCCCAAAGATAAACGTCTATTTCATGTCGTGACCGTAACGCTGCCATCTTATTGGATGAGTGACGTCTCGCAGTGATTGGTTCATAGGATATCGTCTATTCCCTACTGTAACAGTCATACGAAATTTACCACACAGATTTACGAGCGAAAATAAAATAAATAATACTTGAATATAAATGAATATTTTAGCATTTTGACTTGTAGATCTTACTCTAGTAACGTATGAATCCAACGCCTCTTCAATTTCTCCTGCTCGTTCTGACAGTCTGTACTCTACGCACTCCATGCGTTCTTCTGCACGTTCGAGTTCTATCTTCAGACTCATCATCTATAATGTAACAGAAGTAGAAAATATATTATGGGAACGAGTAGTCATAGTTGGGAGAAATGATAAGAATGGGAAAAGAATGGGGATGGAGGGGAGATAGAAAGGAAAGGAAAGAGCGAAAGGTCGAATGAGGAAGAGAAATATGGGTAGCGAAGAACGTGAAGAGAAGAGAAGAGAAGAGAAGAAAGAGAAGAGAAGAGAAGAGAAGAGAAGAGAAGAGAAGAGAAGAGAAGAGAAGAGAAGAGAAGAGAAGAGAACAGAACAGAAGAGAACAGAACAGAAGAGAACAGAACAGAAGAGAGGAGACCTACCTCATTTTGGTGCAGTTCAGTCATATCATTCCACTGTGAGGTTAAATCATTTAACTGACATTGAAGATGCTAAAAACACAATATGATAACAATCTATCTTCATTAATACGACCAACATTCAACCAACAGAAGACACCAACTGCGCTAAAGCGTCCACCTTAAATCAGCGTGAGTCCTAATGGTCAGATTCTAGGTTCGATTCCTGTGGACGACACACTTAAATAGAGAGTTCTAGATTGACTTTTTTTTCTTCCCGGCAAACGTGACCACGTTTTCATCGTTTTCCTTTATTTTGTAAGTATGACGAGAAAGGAAGTGCGCGCGCGTGCTGTGTGTTCTCGTAACGCACGCGCTCTAGGCCAATCAGAACGCGAGATTTATAGCATTTATTTTGAAATGAATAATAGAGGTAGTGAGTGTGAAGTTTCTGATACCTCGGATTTATATCTCTCTTCCTGTAGCGATCGAGCAAGAAGATCTAATTGTTCCTGAAAGACAACAATGATAAATTAGAACACAGGAAGAAAAAGGAAAAAAAAACTGTCGCAGAAAAAAGCTTGTGCACATTCTTGGTGCGACTGTTATATGTAACGTTGTCGGTGACTGAATTTTGGGATGCCACACGTAGCAATTATTTTCACTGGGAAGCCATTTCAATGTTACGGCATGTCGTACCGTGTACGTGCTGTAAGTCAGTACCGTATGTTTCCCACTCATACGATAACCATTCTTATGGGAAGTCTTTTCAATGTTACGGCATGTCGTACCGTGTACGTGCTGTAAGTCAGTACCGTATGTTTCCCACTCATACGATAACCATTCTTATGGGGAGCCTTTTCAATGTTACTGCATGTTGTACCGTGTACGTGCTGTAAGTCAGTACCGTATGTTTCCCACTCATACGATAACCATTCTTATGGAAGCCATTTCAATGTTACGGCATGTCGTACCGTGTACGTGCTGTAAGTCAGTACCGTATGTTTCCCACTCATACGATAACCATTCTTATGGAAGCCATTTCAATGTCACGGCATGTCGTACCGTGTACGTGCTGCAAGTCAGTACCGTATGTTTCTCACTCATACGATAACCATTCTTATGGGAAGCCATTTCAATGTTACGGCATTTGATAGACAAGTGATTTTTAAGGAAGTCAAGGTTGGTTGAGAGGCCACGTACCTTCAAAGAGTCGATGGTTTCGTTTAGTCGTGACTGGTTTTCTTTCACGTCGTTGATATCTTGTTCGAAGGTGACGGGTGGACTGGGCGGGAGGCTATATCGTGGACTTGAGTGATGATGAGGCAAACTACAATGAAAGTAAATATACACCGTTCTCATAATGGCTGACAAGTGCACAAAAACGAGGTCACCCAGTCATTAGTTCACAATACAAGATATAAAAGTACATTAAATGAGTTTATGAGAGAAAAGTATAGAAATTTAACTCTTGTTTTGACCTGTATTCGCGCTATCCACCTTTATTCTGAATGAGCAGCCTTGCTCAGCCTTACAAGATGACTGGGTGATCTCGGTTTTTTGCCCTCGTCAGTCATTATGAGAAGGGTGTATATGCTGGTTGTTATGGAGAAACTTCCTTACTAATGGACCCTTCTCAAAAGTATCGTGGATGAGAGCTTAACATGAAATTACAAAAAGAAATCACACTTTTCTTGATGGAATTTGTGTCATTTCTTTCGTATTTCCGTGTTAGCCTTGTAGACAAGACAATTTCAAGAAGGGTACATTGCTATACTTAAAAGTCGTGGTCACCATTATTTTTTGACAGAAAACACGGTTGATGTTATTGCTTCATGACATACCTTGCTGGTGCACCAGATGCAGCACTGGACGAGTCATCATCGCTGATGTAATGAGGGCTTTGAAACAGAGATATTATTTAAGAAATAGCCAGAATGCATGGAGGAGAAAAGAAGAGAGGAGAGGGGGAGCAGAGGGGACGGGGGGTAGGAGAGAGGAGAGAGGAGAGAGGAGAGAGGAGAGAGGAGAGAGGAGA